GGAGAGAGGGCCTGCGGCGCGCTCGGGGTCACGGCGCCTGCGCGTGGCGGCCCCTGGCGGCCGGAGGTGGCGCTGCAGCCTGCGGGCCGAGGGGGGCCGGTCTCGGGGCGGCCATCGCTCCGATTCGCCCTTCTTTTTCTACCTTCCTTCCCTCCCTTCTTTGGTTTTCCCTTTACTTCCTTGCTTCCTCTTTCTCCCTCGTTATCTTCCTTTTCCCTTCATTTTCTTCCCCTCTTCTCTTCCATTTGCCCTCTTCCACCTTTTCTTTTTCTGTCCTTTCTCCTGCCCTGATTTTCCCCTTCTCAATACTTTCTCTGAACAGTATTAATCGAACCCCTGTACTGGATGCCAGATCTAGCATACCTAGCTTGAAGGAATCCAAACTGAAAAACAAACCGGGCCTGGTGATGCACATCTGTAGTTCCAGCTCTCCGGGAAGCTGAGGCGGGAGGGCACAAAGTTCAAGCTCAGCCTGCGCATTTTAGCAACTTAATGAGACCCTGTCTCAAATTTTTAAAAAAATTCAAAAAAGGGTCTAAGGATATAGTTCAGTGCAAAGGCCCTGGGTTCACCCTCCCAGCCACGAAACCAATAAAATCCACAAAAACCTTACCTAATGATGAGGCCACCAAGACGTTGAAAGTCACAAGAACCGCGCGTGCTGAGCAGTGTTGTTTGGTAGGAACTATTTGTGAAAAATAAACGTGGACGTCTACATGACAAGGCCGTGAAAGGACACAGGAGAACTGGTTAACTGTGGTCATCTCGGGACTAGAGCTGGAAGAGGAATGAATTGTTTTAGTTTTATGCCTCTCTATTGTTTGAAAAACATTTTTATGCATGAGCTTTTCAAAAAGGAAGAGGAATATAAAATTTAGAAATTAAGTTAAAACCAGAAAAAGGGATTAGAATGTGGCTCTCGAGGGTGTGGGTCCAGGCCAACTCTGCTACTGTGTAGACTGATGTACACTCTGCAGCCCTGTGTTAAATCCACATTCATTGTTATCTTCGGATCAGGAGTCCGTATGGAGCAATGAGTTATTCTCATTTTTGTTCACAGGTATTTACCCACAAATACTGTATTAAGATATGCTTTCTGTAACATATCCTGGGATGTTGTTTATAGGGAAGCAAAATGATGCTGATATTTTTCAACGTGACAACCTTGTAAAATAGGGAAGGCTGTACCATTCTTAATTCCTTTTACTATAAATGGGTGTCCAGAGAAGGGAGGTGGGTTGCTATTCAATGCTAAGAAGGGGTTCACAGCCAGGTTTTCTGGATTACAATCAGAAGTCCTCTCAACACATGAACATAGTAAAGACTTTCGAATATCTGTACTTTTAGCCCTGTAGTGCCCAGTGTGCTTTCAGGTAAACTCATAATTACAACCTTCTCTTATGAACAGATCTAATGTAAGTCATTTATACTTTAATAAGAATGGGAAGAGTTGTAGCTTTCTATTGAACTCGGTGATAAAATGGTAGGCTTATGATTTAGGACCCTGTTCTTGGCAAGTGATAGAAACTCAATTTGAATTATGTCAAATTAACAAGAAAAGATTTATTCACTTACATGTTCAGAAAGAGCAGGACTCAAGCTTGCCTGAGGGACAATGAGAACCAAGAATGAGATGCTGTCCTCTCCCTCTCCCCTCGCTTTCCCTTTCCTCCTCCTGCTCATCTCTGTGCGTATTGTTGTGATAACTTGGATCTTCAGTGCCCCTCTGGGCCTCCTGGGAAGCAATGGAAACTTCAGAAGGTTGGACCCAGTGGAAGCAAGGTGGTCATTAGGGGCATGCCCTTGAAGGGGTGCAGGGATCAGGCCCCTCCTCTCCTGTGTAGCTTCCTGGCTGCTGTGAGGTGGGCAGCTAGCTCTGTCCCCCCACCCCATACACTCCCATCATGGCGTTCTGCCTCACTACAGGCCCAAAGTGACAGGGCCCAGTGACCATGGATGTAAATCTCTAAAACTGTGAGCCAAAACGAACTTTTCTTTCTTATAAATTTATTTTTGTCACAATAACAGAAAGCAGACCAGCTAGCTCTGCCCCCCCCACTCCCATTTGACTGGAAAAATAGCTACTACCTGCCTTAGGATTTTTCTAATGTTCTAATCATTCAGGGAAAGATCCTCTCCCCTGAGTGATTTACTTAAAAAGACTTTAGGGAAGGGGCATGATTGGCTCACTTGGGTTGCATGTTTTATGGGGGTGGGGGTGTTCAGCTTGGGTACCAAGTCCAGCCCCATGGCTGGGAGGAGTAGGGGTTGTGATTGGCAGCCCCCGCCAGGCCCCTATGGTTAGGAAGGGAAGAAGAGCTTCTTGTCGTGACAGCAGCTGTTCTTCCCCAAAAGCTATGCTTGTGTCTGTTACCTCCTTGTGACAAGCCTCTTTGTCATTCAGGAAGTAGTGTGGGGGAAGAGGCTACACTGGGTAAGGGAACCTCTGCTGCTCTGAAATCCAGTCAGAAAGTCCTCCTTCTTGATGCTGTTAACACTACCTCCTTGTGCTTTGAGAACTGCTATGCACACTCCCTCTGTAGACAGGCTTTCAGGGTGGCAGGACTCCCTCCAGGCTAGACTGTGTGTATTAGCCCACTTGCCCCATCTCTCTGCGTGCTGCCCAAGGGCAGGTTCTGGTTCCATTCTCCTTGCTGCTTATAACATCCAGCCCGATGAGCACTATTCTTTAAATGTCCCTCAGAGCTACTTCTCCCCTTCCCTTCCCAGCCTCCCCAGAAGATCACAGAGGAAAGTGATCTTCTTACTCTACACTATGGAGTTAGTAACTTCCTGCCTTCAGAGCAAACCTAATGGGTGACAAAGTGTTCACAGCAGTGAAGAGAGCAAGCAACAGAAAATATCTCTCAGCAAAAGTGCCTGGAAGATTGGAACCCCAATTCATTCCTGCTGGAATTCCTACTGCTAGGCTGTGCCTGCCACAGAAGGCACTAGAAAATGTTAGTTGAAATCACACCATGACATCAGGCAGCCTCTATAAGGACCTCAAAGGGTCCTGTTGCTCATCATTCACACCCTGCCCCCATTGAGTGTGATTTGCTTCTAACAACTTGCAACAGAGGTGACTAGGTCAATAAGATCATGGCTGTCATTTCTGTGATGGGATTGCGACTTGGGTCTTGCTGGCCAGCTCTCTCTACAGCCTTCTTATTTGCACCTTTTGATGAACAAAGTTGCCATGACAGAGAAGCCCTGTGGCATAGACCTGAGCCTGGCCTCCAGCTAACCACCACCAAGCCCTAAGGCTCCCAGGACTGTTCTCAGCCCTGGAGGAGCTACATTCCCCTGCCATCACCTGAGATGCAGTGCAAGTCCATCCTCAGTGGGGCCTGCAGAGGAGACCACAGCCCTGACCAGCAGCCTCAGCATAGCTTTTTGAGAGGCCTAGAAGCAGAAGAACCAGCTCAGCAGTGTGTAGACTCCTTATTCCCAGAAACTGGGAGGTGATGAATGTGGTTACTAAAGCCATTAAGGCTTGGGGCAACTTGTTGCATAACAGTAGACAGTTTAAACAAACATCATCCCCAACCAGGAAGCTGCCCTGCCTGTGGATCTCAACAGGGACTAAAGTAATATCACACCAGCCACAGTTGCAAAAGTGCTTTACCAAAGCATTCACACATTAACCCCTCCATCCTTTTTTTTGGCGGGGGGAGTATGGGGATCAAACTCAGGACCTTGTGCTCGCTAGGCAAGTGCTTATGCTGCTGAGCTATTTCCTGGGCCCCATCCCCTCCATCCTGATTCCATTCTAGTGGGAGGAGCACTCTTATCCCTTTTTCATAGGTGGGCAAACGGGCCTGGAGACGTCAGGTGCAAAAATCACACAGCTGACCTGCCTGGGACGTGAATCTCTGTCTGTCTTGCTCCCCAAGCCACCAATCCCTGTGCCACACTACTCTGGAGAGAGGAGCCATATCAACGCCCTTCCTGCATGCTTCGAATACAGTCAAATTAAAATGAAGTTCAGAAGAGGATGCATATAGTTATACATGTATGCTCATACATTGAAAGATCAGAAGGTACTTTGAGGAGAGGAAATAATTTTTTTGTTGCTATTTATAGTTTTGTGTGTGTGTGTGTGTGTGTGTGTGTGTGTGTGTTCCAGAGAGTTACTTGGACAAGGAGAACCATGCAGAGAAGAGATGACTACCCCACTTGGTAGAATTGTCCTCCAGTGGCAAAACTTCGTGTTGTGATACCTGGGTAGGCAGATGATGCTGACCTGGGATTGAAGAGGAGGCTTCTTGACAGCTGTGAATTTCCTGCAGCTGAATTCAGAGCCTCCTGTGGTCCTGCAAACTCACTGGCTGAAGAGGAGGAGAAGGAGCCTGAGGAGAGGATGGGGCAGGCTCTGTACTTCACTTAGTCCTGCCCTGTCCATGCCCCTATCTGCAGGCCTGTGTCTTGCCTGGCAGCCTGTTTGATACTGGGCTTCTTTATGAAGGCACAGGGTTGCTTTCTCTTCCTTGAGTGACCTGACCTGGCACATGTTTCACCAGATCCCTGGGACACAGGCTCCAGGTTTTAGGGTGAATGACTAATGTACCTCTGCAGAATACTTGCCTCTGAGACCCTTGCTCAATGTCCTTGCTGCAACCCTAGGAGGACACACACATGTCCTTGCAGAGAGTGGGCTGGGAGCATAAGAGTGGTGGCCTTTGCAAGGCCACCCAGCTAGAACTGACTGCAGGCCTCCCAACTGACTGCAAACCCCCTTAGCTGGGGGCTTAAGACCACACCATGGCAGAGAAAGGACTGAACAGCAATTGGTTCTTAGCTGCTTGGTGGGACCTAGGGTTGAGACCAAGATCAGGGCAGCCCTACAGCTCTGGAGAAGGACAAAGCTGGCCCTGGCTTCACACTTGTCAGCTCTGCAGCCCTCTGTGGTCTCTGAGGACTCGCCTACTCTGAATATCCATCTCTTCCTTTAGACAAGGGTAAGGGAATCAAGCCTGCTGGGGCAATAGGACGCTCTATGGATGAAGAGGATAACGAAGTCAGAATGCTGAGTATAACACCTGAGGGGCAGTAAGTGTTCAATAAATATTACTGCTAATATTAATTTCTAAATATTTGTGGTTCTTTAAAAAC